ATAATATAAAGATACCATAAGAATGAGCTCTAAGAAATTAAAATATGGATAGGAATTAACAATTCAATAGAAGGGCTGTAAGATAACATTAAAGAAATCTCTCAGGAAACAGAACAAAAAGACTAAGTGATGGAAAACAGGAAGGAAAAGAAAATTAAAAGAACCACCTAAGAATTCTAAGACCCAAATAATACAAATTCCAAGACAGACAAAAAATCAAATGAGAAAGAGATTATCAAAGAAACAATGCATCAAATTTAGAGTATTCATTCAATGAAAGACACCATGGACAAAACTAACAGAAAGATGACAGGCCTATAAAAGATATTTTCCAATCCTAAAACCAACAGACCTCCACAAGGAACTCCTGCAAACCAAAAAAAAAAGACAGGAGTTCCCTGGTGGCCTAGTGGTTAGAATTCCGGGCTTTCACTGTTGTGGCCTGGGTTCAATCCCTGGGTGGGGGAACTGAGATCCTGCAAGCTGCGCAGCACAGCACGGCCAAAACAAACAAACAAACAAAAAAGACAGGGCGTGGAAAGGAAAGATAGACAAAGTACAAAACAGACAATTAACAAAAGGGAAAACCTGAATGGATACAAGAGATGCTCGAATTCATTAATTATCAGAGAATGTAAATTAAAACAATGAGATACCACTTTATACCCGACTAGCAAAAATTAAGAAGTTGGATAAAACCAAGTACTGTCAAAGATGTGGGCAAACAAGAAAACTCCTCACTGCTAGCAGGCACATAAACTAGTTCTCCTATTCTATGACCCAGGAATCCCACTCCTGGGCATACATCCCAAAGAACTTCTCACACAGGTCCACAAGGATGTACAAGTAACAGTATATTTACCACAGTGCACTTGTGATGCCAGAGAGGCAACTCAGGTGTCAGTGATTAGGGAATAAAAAGTAAAATGTGGTAGATGCACATTATGGAATTCTACATTATACGCAACTATATGTACACACAACGAAACAGAAAGGTCTCCAAACAATGCTGAGTAAAAAGAGTAAGAAACGGAGCAAGGTCTATAGCACAATATATAAACTAAATACACAAAACGCACTACATATTTCACAATGATTCACATACAATCAAGGAATGTATCAGCCACAATGCAGTGGGTGCCTACTAGAAAGGGTAATGGAAGTAGGGCTCAGAAATGAAAGAGAAAAATTTAAAGGACCTTGTATAGTTTGATGATAGTGTCAAGAACTGGGAAGCATAATTAACTCAAACTCTTTTTACCTAAGACCCCAATAATAATAATAAATAATAAATAAATTTCCCAAAACTAAAGGACACAAATCCTCGGCTTGTAAGGGTCCATCAAGTGACCTTAAATGAAAACAAACAAACAAACAATCAAATCTAGGGACATTATGGAATTTCAGGGGTTAAAAATAATACCCTAAAAGCTTCTGGAGATTGGAGAAGACAGGGAAGGTCACATACAAATGAAGAATAAGAACACCTCTGGACTTCAACAGCAACATTAAAATGCAGAAAACAATGGAGCTATGACTTCCAAACTTTTTAAGCCTAGGTTTTTATACCCAGCCAGATTACTGATGAAATGTTAAGGTAGAATATAGATTTTTTTCAATCATGCAAGATCTCAGAAAGTTTTCGCTTCCCAGGTACCCTTTCTCTGTAAGTTAAGAAAATATGGGAAACAAGAGATCCAATACAGGAGAAGGGCAAAGAGAATTTTAAGGGCGACATAAAGAAAAGTTCCAGGATAACAGCTGTGAAGTATACCTAGAAAGTAACCAGTCCAGATTGCATTAAAAGAACAGAAGGTTCCAGGACAGCTATCTCACAGAAATGGAAGTGGGAAAAAAAGGTGTTACTCCTGGAAAAACAAAAATTGGTTAAGAGAAGAAATGATATCACAATATACTACATGGTTCAGCTATAAACATTTACATAGTTATAACTGAACGTTGACTTAATAAACACCTGTGATAACTATATTAAAAGGATGGGAGAGGCAGTGTGTAAATGTGGAGGAAAGTCAATAGATAATGTCTAAAACTGCTGTATCAAGAAATAGCAATAGAAGTTATTTATAAATATGAAAGAGGAAACAGCTAAAAGAAGGAAATTGGTGGCCTCTAAAGTGCAGAGGCTAGGACAGGACAGTTGTTTTCAGAGAATATTCTAATTTAAAAATTGTATTTTTTAATGGCAGTAAAGCAAGGAACTCCAATAGCCCTTCAGCTTTTAGTAAATTAGATCTTCACAATATCATTTCATGATGTTAAACAAACTGCATCTAGTTTGTTCTGCTGGAGACTGCACTGCAAACCAAGACAAAAATCAAGCTTTAATGATTGATGTGAACATAGTACAAATAGCCCTGTGATTGAATACCAGCTCCCTCACTTATTCTGTGAAGTAGGGCAAGTTACCTAACCATCCTGTACCTGTAGCCACCTTCTCAAAGTGGGTTTGCAAGGGTAATTAAGTGAAAACACCTGATGCAGTGCTTGAGCCATCAACAGATGTTAGTACCTTTTGCTTGTCTTTCTGCTCCCTAGCTAAAAACCCCCATTTTGACCCCAAGCTGCCTTGCTGGTCACAGAATACAGAGACTCATGGACAACTCAGCACATATCCCTCCTCATGCTGAAAAATCAATCATGATGAGTAAGCAGACTTATCTTTGTATATGAAGAGCAGCATTATTCTTGTTATGTGAAGGAGATTATCCCCATTATCCACATTTTGGATTATTGCCTGCTTTCAAGAACTGTCCCAATTAGTCTACTACACTAGATCAGAACCATTTTGTCACTAAGGTCTGTCATGTAGGGTCGTTATCATCTTTAAAAACAAACAAACAAACAAAAAACTGTACGGGGGGCTTCCCTGGTGGCGCAGTGGTTGAGAGTCTGCCTGCCGATGCAGGGGGCACGGGTTCGTGCCCAGGTCTGGGAAGATTCCACATGCCGCGGAGCGGCTGGGCCCGTGAGCCATGGCCACTGAGCCTGCGCATCCGGACAGCGGGAGAGGCCACAACAGTGAGAGGCCCGCGTACCGCAAAAAAAAAAAACAAAAAAAACTGTACATTCCACGAGTCTTCATCCCTGCTCTTTCACTGCAAGGACTTAAAATTTCCTAATGAAGGTCCTATCTGGTACCTCACTATCCTGGGGCCACCTCCTGCTCACTGCAGCAAGAATAGAGGCAAGTCAGCCCCCAGTCAGCTAATTGAATTGTTTACCATTTCCAATGTTTTCTTCCATTATTATGGCTGAATTCAGAATACCTTGCAAAGTACAGAAACCTTAAAACAAAGAGATTAACAGGGAATTATCTTTATCATCACTATGTCAGTCACCTTTACTTGCATGGCCAAAAGTCTTAGTTGATTTTATACAAAGCATACATACTTCTAGAAACAATCTGACAAGACTTAAAAACACTAAATCATAAATCATCAAGACTTTATCATTAATTCAACAGGTAAACTCCTCAAGGCTTATGTTGTCTGATTCCATTTGAACTTCCTTTGCTACAGTTTCTGCTCAATTTTGACTGATAAAATGTCATGCAGTCAATATTTTTACTCATTATTTGTTAGTCTTCCCTGCAACACTATAAATTCCATGACACAAGAACAGTGTCTTCTAGAGGCAGGACAGGAATAAAGATGCAGACGTAGAGAATGGACTTGAGGACCCGGGGAGGGGGAAGGGTAAGCTGGGATGAAGTGAGAGAGTGGCATGGACATATATACACTACCAAATGTAAAAACGATCGCTAGTGGGAAGCAGCTGCATAGCACAGGGAGATCAGCTCGGTGCTTTGTGACCACCTAGAGGGGTGGGATAGGGAGGGTGGGAGAGAGATGCAAGAGGGAGGAGATGTGGGGATATATGTATATGTATAGCTGATTCACTTTGTTATACAGCAGAAACTAACACACCATTGTAAAGCAATTATATTCCAATAAAGATGTTTAAAAAAAAAAAGAACAGTGTCTTGATCATGTCTACATCCCCAGTCTCAAGGCCTATGAACACTCCAAGTATTCGCTGAATTAATGGACCAAATAAAGAAAACGCAACCAAGAAGTATGCAAGGAGAGGAGAAATAATTCCTAAATTAGCAGTGATTCTGGTTCTAAGGCTGGTTCTAACAAGAGCTGGAACACTTTAGGTAAGTTACCTAACTTCTCTGACCCTAGAAGCTTTAATCTGCAGAAAAGGAAAAAATAACATACTTCAGAGTTACTGTAAGCATTAACGTTTTACTGTACAAAAAGTATTTAGCACAATATCTGGAAAGGAGCTCAATAAATGTTAATTCCTTTACCTTTCCTCATGTTCTCCACCTTAAAATCCGGTATTACAGATAAAAGTGCCTTCCAAAAATAAATTACTTCAGTAAAAGTACAATAGAGTTCATTCTCCATTTGCTCTGAAAAGTTAAAATTTCATCTCTTCAATCTTTAAAATGGAGGGGGACTAGCTTGTGAATTACTTTCAAAATATCACAAACACAAGAACAAGTTAAGAAAAAAACAATGTCAAGAATGAGCCTTGAAGCAACGTGCGGGGGGGGGGGGGGCGGGGGGGCGGGGAATCACTCATCTACTGCGAAGAAATAGGGGTTTTTAAGGCAGTGCTCACTAAACGAAAAAAGGCTTGAAAAAGGTAGAAACGTTATTTAATAGTATGTTTTAGAAAAAAATACTTCCCAACTGTTTATTCTGAATTTAAACCTTAAAAAATCAACTATTTTGACATCGTGAGCTTAAAAGTGGAACATTACATATACTTCTATTCAAACCTAAAACATTCCTTCATGACGACTTCCCAGACTCCAGTCATCCTTCAGTTTCATCCTCCCATTTTGAGCTTAATCGAATACCTCGCCGCTTCCCTTGCATCACCACTGACACACGCTGTGTGCAGACGAAGTTCTGTCATTCCTATAATTACCACACCCCTGTCAGACGCTTCAGGCCCATGTTGTTATGACATCTGTAAACTGCAGTCCTCCGTCTGTCTCCACCCGCACCGCGCCCCCCCCCCCCCCCCCCACTTCCAAACCACCGGCTCCGGCTCGGGCTGTAACTTGTGAATTCCCGAGACGGTCCTCTCCGGCCTCGGTTAGGATTTTTACACGCCCCCCACCCCTTGCTCTTTCCTGCCTCAGTCGCCGCACTCCGTGCGGCCCACCCACGCCCCCAGCTCGCTCGCGCCGGGCCGCGGCGCTGGCTCCGCACTCCCTCCTCTCCGCCCCGCTGCCTCAGCGCCCCGCAGTCCCCGACGCTGCTTCCAGCTCCACTGCCGCGCCGCCCCGCCCCGCCTCGCCTCCACCGGCGTTCCCGATGGCGAACCAGTGCTCCCCACCCCCACCGTCCTCTCAGCGGGCCGCGCGGCCGTTGGGACTGCCTGGCCCGTGACGCACGGACGCGCAGCAAGCGCCCAGGCCCAGGAACCCGAGCTCGAGCACTGCCGGCGGCCCGCCCTCACCGCGGGGCCTCCCCCGCACACAACCGGATCCGCCGGAGTCCCCGGCGGGAGGGGGAGGGGCCGGGGGCCGCCGGGGCCCCGCACTCACCAAGCTCAAGGCAGCCGATCCCGGTGCCACTGCTGGGGTGAGCCTCTGGCTCGCTCGCTCGCCTGCCGTGCCTCTCCCGCACACAACCTCGAAGACCCAGCTCGCGCCTCGGCGGTGCTCACCAGGCCTCGCTCGCCGACACCGCCGCGCACCCAGCACAGCGAGACCCAGCTCAGCCGGCGTTCGCAGTACGCCTGCGCGCGGGGGCCGGCCCGCGCGCCTGCGCGCGCCTCTCCACCACTCTGCTGCAGAGGCTGCCGGGAGTTGTAGTCTTCCAACCGTCCTTCTCGCGAAGCGCCAGCGGTTAGCCGGGAACCAGTGGAGAGTCTGGCGTCGGGAAGGAGGTCTGGTTGACAAGGTTCGCAGTTAGTGGCGAAGGTTGGAGAGTCATTCTGGAGTGACAATGAAACGGTACTTCTTAGGCTGAATTGCAAAGTTTTGTCTACAAATTTGTCTTCGAAGCTCTTCCAGGGCGTATCGATCCTTGCTCACCTCTGTCTATAGCCTCTGACAGGCTTGTTACCTAATACACGTTTACTGAGTAAATAATGGAATGAATGAAGCCTGAGGGATTACTAAAAAAGAGTTATAAGTCCGCGCTTCATGTCTAGGGCATTCACATGCAGCATGTTTGAGAAACTTCTGGGTATTTCCTTTTTTAGTTCTCTCCCGTCCCCTTTGCCTGATAATGTATATAAGCAGTATCAAAAATCATTAATAAATTAAATGAAACACAAATGCTTGCTTTACTCTCAATAAATGCTCTCAAACGAAAATTTGGGACAAATAGTTGTTACTGTTAAATCTGATGGAATTCTCTTTGAGCTTAATCGAATTGTTTTTGAGCAGTGGCTTCAAAAGAAGAAAGACTGAAGCCAGCCAAGCAAAGGTCACAGAATACAGTCTCACATGCGACCTGGTTTATCAAATCAATCTAAACACCCACGGAGAAGCAAGGTGAAAGAAATGGGGTAGCTCTATAACATAAGTGTGGGAGAGAGGACCTTACTGCCTGAATCCTAGGCTATGCGATGTTCATTTGTCCTGGATCTCTTTCTGCCACGTCAGTATTCCCCACTAACGGTGTGTTTTCTAGGATGAGCTGAGTTTGAGCAAGGGCACTGGGGAAAGGGAATGTGTTCTAAGGGAGAGACTTGGAGGCAAGTGTGCGTGACCGCAGCTAAGCTGAGGACAGATCACTTTATTCCAATCAGGAGCTAATATTATTCAGAGCTGGACTTTAGTGTTTGTGAAAACTAGTTTCTTTCTAGTTCACCCTTATTCCTAGTTAGAGTATCCCGTGAGGGTCTGGACCAAAAGTCTGGGGTATTTACGAGGGCCTCTCTTCCTTGACCCAACCTCTTCAGCCCCATGAGACAGTCAAAAGCTCTACTCAGTTTTTCAGCCACTGCTTTCAGAATTAGCAATCACTTCAAGTGGAAAAGTAACAGCAAACATCAGGCTCACCTCTCATGGGTTCCCTTTCTTTTCTTCCAGATCTTGGATCCACAGATTCTCACTGCTGTGGTAGCTCTTCAGTGCCTTAATGTTTTTTATATTTTGTCCAGCTATTCTCTGTGGTGGGAGGATTTGTTCAAGACAACAACAGTAGCCCATTGCTGAAGCAGAATTCCTATATATATGTTACTTTTACAAAAATGTTATCATACCATACATGATGTTTTGTTAGTTAATGTCTCTCTGACTATATCTTTTTGTATTAAAGTTTATTTTTAATTTTAAATTATAGAACAGTAGTTTTGCTATTACAAACAACACTGCTGTGAACATTCTTGTACGTGTCTTTGTGTGTACAGGGAAACTGCTAGATCCTAAGACATTGCATCTTTAACCTTACGAGATGTGACAGGCAGAATTCTCAGATGGCCCCCGTGATCTTTGCCCCTTGCTGTTACCCTGTATAATCCCTACCCCTTGAGTGTGGGTGGGAGCTTTGACTTACTTCTGGCCAATAGAATATGGCAAGGATGATTACATTTCATTATAAGTCTCTGTCTTAGCAGACCAGAGCTCGACACTCTCTTGCCGGCCTTGAAGAAGCGAGCTTTCACGTTGAGAACTGCCTATGGAGAGGGCCACGTGGCAGCGAGCTGCAGATGGTTTCTAGCACCTGGGTGCAGCCTCCAGCTGACAGCCAGTAAGCAAGCCAGGGCCCTCAGCCCTACAACCACAAGGAAATGAATTCTGCCAACAACCTGAGACGGCTTGGAAGTGGATTCTTCCCCAGTCAAGCCTCCAGATGAGAAGACAACGTGACTTACACCTTGATTGCAGCTTTGTGAGACCCTGAGCAGAGGAACCAGCTCAGCTGTGCCCGTAATCCTGGCCCACAGAAACTGTGAGATAATAAATGTGTTTTAAGACACTAGGTTTCTGGTATTTTTTTCCACAGCGATGGAAAAGTAATATGCTAGATATTGCCAGATTATTTCATAAAGTGGTTGTGCCAGCTTATGCTCCACAAGTAGCTGATAAGGTTTTCTTTTCTAAACAACCTTGCTAACATTTGGAAATGTCTTTTTTATTTTTGCCAAATGGATGGGTGTGAAAATACATAATAATTAGACACATACATTAACATAAAAACACGAAAAATAAGTTTTTACTTGCAATGATATATTCCGTTGTATTTTTTTCTGTTGCATAAATGCTATTACTTAAAATAGCAATAGGACTCATTAAAAGTGGCAATTAATAATAATTAATACAAGGACTAATTAAGAAAATAATTTGTGAGAAAAATACAACCTTTTATAGCATAATATATATATATATATTTTAAACATCTTTATTGGAGTATAATTGCTTTACAATGGTGTGTTAGTTTCTGTGTATAACAAAGTGAATCAGCTATACATATACATACATCCCCATATCTCTTCCCTCTTGCGTCTCCCTCCCCCCGACCCTCTCTATCCCACCTCTCTAGGTGGTCACAAAGCACCCAGCTGATCTCCCTGTGCTATACAGCATAATATTTTTATGTTTCTTCCTGTCCTCTGGTTCAGCAACTTATTTTAACTCTTTCTTAAACTCTTTATCACATATTCAAATTTTGTAGGCTATATTATTCTATATTCTATATGTATATTAAGATACATAAACGTAGGAATTTTATGAAGGAGAGTATATATACAGTAGAACTTGTTAAACAGATATTACTCCTATTACAGTTTTAAGAAATGATATGTTTCTGTCCCATGATAGAGTGGGATATTTTTTATTCTTTTTGTTTCCTTTTTCATCAATATTTCCCTGAACTGCCTGGAGCCTTTAGGACATCTTTTCTTTTATGTAATGGTAAAACCAAATACAGCCAAATATAAAATTAGTTTTGACTTGCAGCTCTGTTCCTCTGCCTGCATTGCACTGATTCTTGTTGGCACAGATGACATCAAGCTAAACATTCCCTCAACAAAAGTGTTTGAGCATAGAACAGTTAGGATTTTAATTACTAATGCAGCAGGTTTTTAAACTTGTAGGAATTTGTTTCTGGTTCTCCAGAATGTCCACCCATTTTGTATCTACAGACTTGCTTTGGTAAACCAACTGTTTGTCAGTCAGGTCCTTTGCATGTATAAATTAACCATTTCTATATCTAAAATGCCCATTGTTTTTAAAACATTCTGAAGCACATTGTATGTTATCATAAGTTAAACCTCTCTTCCCCAGAAAAAATGGTTTTAAAGCATAGAGGTAATTTGAACTTGTGAAATTGAAGTTAGATTTCAAATAAATTTACAGTTTTAGTGAAGAAATTCAGAAAGTCCTGTTTAATTTGGTTACTTTTTTCTAGGGACTTTTTTTTTAAGTTCTGAAAGTCTTATTTCCAAAAATTAGTCCTTTTTTTCTGTTTGAAGTTTTTGTCGCAACCTGCATATAACATTGAATAACTGAGATTCAGATGGTTCATCCTTTTCTAGACTTCTTATGACCTCTTCAAGGATTATCAGACAGTTTTGGAGAACCAGCATGTTTATTTCTGTTTCACTGTAATTCTTCTCTCCGTTCTCATCCTCAATGTATTTCCAAATTGGAGCAGGACATTCTTCTTGTTCCACGCTTTGAAAATATGATTTCATGGCAGGCTGACATTATAACGTCTTTTCTATGGCTGGCAACAATGATCACCATCTTGTAGGTACATGTTTAAGGAAGCTGTCTCCTGCCATTTCTATAGTCAAAAATGTCGTTAAATGCTTCCGCACATTTTGAGGAAGCTGAAATGCCCAGACACTGTCATTATGAAAACTTCTGTATCGCAGGTAAGCAAACCACACCCCTCTTTAAACAGTGTTCTGTATAAGATGTTTAGCCGATGAGATCGTTTCATTTTCTTTGGTAAGAAGTTTAGAGACTGAATCGAATTTGTCAAAATTAACATTTGCCCTGAAAGCAAATAAATAAGCCAAGTCTACTTTGTCTTTGGACAGATATAACACACTTTGTTTTATGTGTTTGTGGTTTCATTAAAATCTTAGACATCAAGAAGACAATTTGAAACTCCATTTTTCAAGTAAAATTACCTTAAGAGCTAGGGGAGACATTTTCTGAATCAGGAAATAAAACCTTACTCCGTTCCATAGAGCAATGAAAGGCATGATACAATAATGCATATTGGTTCATGTGATACGCCCAAGCTAATTCAGCAGCCACTATTTTCAACTGAGCATTGGTGTCTTTGGGAGAAATTAAACAAACTTTTGATTGATTTTGAAGTACCTGTCTGTCTCATCCTGGACTTGTAAATTTCAGTCTCCATATTTGCTTTTACATCCCCTTCTCCGCCATACACATCCCAAACTCTTTTCTGCATATTGCACAGTATGCTCTGTTTTTGTTATTTACCTTCATAATCAGTTACATTGTCCTTCCATATGTAATTAATATTACACAGTCGTTGAGCTTTCTTTCAGCGATGTCATCATGCTGTTGCTGGTATTATAATCACTCTCTTATAAAACATGATCATCGCACTCATAATGTTAAAAAATTTAACTTGTATGAGGCACAATGGTTAGTCCATAGGCAAAGCCAAAGATGTATTGCTAATGTTTATGATTACAATGCACTTAAACTGCACACTTTGGTCGCATCCCTCAGAATGATGCAACAATGGATGATCATTACTGTGACCTGTAAATCATGGTTACCAATATCAGTGAACAGGGGAAAAAAAACAACGACAGAGACTATAGAAGTCGAACAATCTGTGCTGTATCCATTTGACACAATAAGCAGTGTTGCTTTCAGCCTCTATTTTTGGGGATATATGGTTTTGTACTTTTCCCCCAACTTCCCACACCGATCATAAAAGATCAGAATTTTTAAATTTTTTTTTATTTTTTTGCCGTACGCGGGCCTCTCACTGTTGTGGCCTCTCCCCTTGCGGAGCCCAGGCTCCGGACGCGCAGGCTCAGCGGCCATGGCTCACGGGCCCAGCCGCTCCGCGGCATGTGGGATCTTCCCGGACCGGGGCACAAACCCGCGTCCCCTGCATCGGCAGGCGGACTCTCAACCACTGCGCCACCAGGGAAGCCAGATCAGGATTTTTTTGTGTGTCCTGGGAGGTTTCCCAGGATGTAGGAATTTCAGTGCTAAAACCCAGAAGGTCAGGCAAATCAGAACAGTTTGTCCCTTTTTCCCACCTGTACTGGTCAAATGTATTCCATTCATCTGGCCAGTACACCCATTCCCCTACTTGCTGTGAGTGCTGGCTGATAAATTTCAGCTGCCCCCGTCTCTGACGAATTGCAGGGCTAACAGGAGCCAGCTTGCTACAAGGCTCCCACTCCTTTCCCCAGGGACAAACCTCAGCCAATAACTGACATCAGAGTAAAAAAAGGCCAACCATTGCTACAGTGTTCAACTTACTCTAATGGTACTATGTGTGCTCTAGAGCCTCCCCATGTAATCAGACTAAAGCTAGTCTTCAACTGAGACAGCACTCTTACTAGCTTTTCCCCCTGCCTTAGACTGTCTCCTTATTCCTGAGAGCACTCTCCCAATAAGCCACTTGAACAAGAAGCCCCATCTCAGGCTCTGCATCTAGGGAACCCCCCCTAGGCCATGATCCTAATGTGCTGTTTTCCATTTCCTTAATCAGTTGTCCAAGACCACTTGCTGAGGTTGGTCCATTGTTTTCCCAGTGATCTGCAATTTTACCTCTGTCATTCATATATATATACACACTCAGGGCTCCATATTGAGAAAAGTATGCCTATAGTCACATGATACTCAGAAAATAAAAAGAACCAGTGAGCAAAAATGCAAGAAACAAATAGTTTAGACTTGAACATGGAAACTTGAATAAGAAATCAATTGTATTCTTTACCACATAAATTCTGATTTCTAAATGGTACTTAGCTTCTAATTGCAAATATTTACTGAAAATATTTTAATGTATCATAAAAGTATTGACACTGTAAAACCTGCAATGTGAAAAGTGCATCATAAATTTGCAGAATTTTTTATATATTTATAAAATTTATATAGTATATATAATATATAAACTTGAGATATATATATCGCAACTATACAAATTTATAAATGTATTATATAAATTTATGTATTTTGGGGGGTATTCAATACATATATGATATATATATTCGAGATACATATATTCTCAAGTTTCCATATAGGCACAGGTCTGTTTTGGAGCTTTCTATTCTATTCAGTTGGTCTGTTTGTCTATCCCTACACCAATAACACATCTTAATTACTGTAATTGTATAATAAGTCATAATATTTTGTAGGTCAAGTCACTTCCACTTTGTTTTTCTTCTTCAAATTGCTTTGGTTCTTCTTGGGCCTTTTTGTTTGATATGTTTTATAATTACTCCATCAGTTTCTATGAAGAAAATCTCCTCTGATTTTGATTGAAATTATATTGAATTGATAAGATTAATTTTTGGAGAACAGACATTGCTATTATATTGTCTTCCTCTCAGTGAGGATATAGTATATCTCTCCAGTTATTTAGTTCTTCTCTAATGCTTTTCAATGACGTTTTGTAATTTTTTTCGGAAGTTTTTGTACTTCTGTTAAATTTAATTCTAGTTACCTTATTTTTTTGCTGTTGCTATTATACTGGTTAAAAAAAAAGACTTTACATTTATTGTTTTTCATGCATAGAAATGGAATTGACTTATATAAATTTCTATTTAGAATCTTGCAGAGTGCTTTTATTAATTCTAATAATTTGTCTCCAGATTTTCTTGGATTTTCTATAGACAATCATATTTTCTGTGATTTAATGACATTTTTGTTTCTCCATTTTTAGTGTTTTTTTGTTTGTTCTTTAATGTGTTTGACAGGAGCTCTAATGCACCGCTGAAGGTGTGGTGATAGGAAGCATCCAGT